AAGCAGCAGTGGAGGTAAGAAGAATATGGCCCACAGCATGACAGACCTTCCACCGTGCTTTACTGCTCTTGAAAGTGTTAAATCTTCATTTGGGGTCACATCAAGATCATAAATGTCGTTTAACAGTCGGTTCTGGTTACATGTATAAACGAGACCAAGTGACCATACTTGAAAAATGTAGTAAGTTCCCGTTTCTGTCATACTAAGAAAAAATAAAATATAGAAATATAAAATTATGAGAATAAAATAGAAATAATACAAGAATAAAATCATATTTTTAAAGGGAAACAACTTAGTTCTCATATGATTTTATTCCCAATTGTATTTTCTTAGCGTGGCCCTAACACTCCACCGTAGTATTCGATCAGCACTTCTTGTAATTTAATAATATTGAACATCTTTTCTTTTCAGAATGATGTAATAAACATAAAACCTGCTGATATTTAAACTCACAGCTGTTCCATTTATGAGGCTCTTCATGGCATCAAACTCATTTTCATTTTGGGACAAATCAAGATCATGAATGCTTTTAAAGGGCCGGTTACACCAGAATGTATTGATAAAACCTGATCACAAACTGTTAAAATATCAATTAATTCTTAAAATTGAATAATGTCAATAATCTTTTCAGTTCCTTCCGGATGTTGTGATACATTTTGTGATTTCTGCAATAAAAATCAAAGTGTTTGTGGTTCTAATTTGGAAATATTTGAGCTTATTTATGACGTTAAATGCGACTCGCTGTACAGATCTTGAACTATATAATCTGACATCAATTAAACCTGAGGCAGCTGTTTAGCACAAGTAAGAAAGTTTTTGACAATTTAATTGAAAACATGATATTTAAGCACATTTAGTGTTTAGTCTGGAATCCAGAGGGCCACATTAAGATGTAAGGCGGGCCGGATTTGGCCCTCGCGGCTTTAGTTTGATTCATATGGTTCAGATGAGAAGCTGTATTCTTGTATCTGTTCTCTCTGACTTATTAGATGGAATAGTCTCTTGTCTTTCCCGTTTTGAAGAGTAGCTCTGGTACTAATTAAGTGAATTCTGGAGGATGTTGGCTGCACTGATTTTTATTTAGAGGCAATCAGAGTAAAAGGGGACTGAAAACAAACGCATGCCACACTTTTGAGATTTTTATTTTCACAAAATCTTGTTTTTGGTTGTGATGTGGCAAAATAAGAAATATTTTTGGCACTTACAGGTTTATATTTTTTTGTTTTGGATTTTGGACGGTTATCATTACATCGCCTGACATTTTACTGATTGTTTTATTGAAAATCCTAAAATTTGCCAATTAAATGTAAGTTTTAATCAGTCTGCTTGTCTTTTGCTGAGCTTCTTCAAACATTCCCTCCTTTATCCTCCTCACAGGCGCAGGTATCATTTCATCCTGTGATTACAACGCTCCGACACGTCCTCTGTTTCCCTCCACAGTTACTATATTTGAATAGCATCCAGACGGAAAACACATATTCCCTCAGCTGCAAACATGTCTGTCTGTAAAGTTTGAGCCCAGAAATACACTCCGATAATCACGGCGGTGCAGAAACAACCCGTCTGTCTCCCTTCGTTCCCTCCCTGAGGATTCCTTCCTCTCTTTCTAAAGTCGTCTAAATTGAGCTGCATCCCCCCCTTCAAACTTGTCAGTGCTAATGAAGTCGGTATTTGAGGTTGTCTTCCTCTCTTTCAGCACTGATGGGGTGAACATGGTTGTCAAACTGGTCGACACACCCTTCTGTTCCCCCGGGAGGAGAGGAGCAGTGACCCGAGACCGTCCTGCAGGGGGACGTTGTCCATCATTAGAGTCTCTATTTGTTCCTGGCTTTGGGGCGCTGAACTGGAACTAATACTGAGCAGCACAACAGACGTAAAGAGGGAGGGACGCTTTTTACTGCTACATTAATTAAGCTCATTTCCAACATGCTCCCAGCCCACCAACTCCTGCCCTCTGGTTCTGCTGTAATTAAGTGTGTGTGTGGGTGTGTGTGTGTGTGTGTTTAAACCAGGCTACATTGTTTGTGTGCGCCTGGTTTAACCTTTTCTGATGGTTAGCATCAGTGCGGACTGAAAGAGAAACAAATCCCACTAAAAGCTGCTGCACTTCTAAACAGTTTTGTTTGTTTTCTGTGGTTAAACTTAAAAAATAAAACACTAAGCGAGACTAAAATGTTGTTACTCCTTGTGGGAAAAATTTAGAATTTTCCACTAAATTATTTAGGCTTAATTAGGCAACAAAAAAGTGTATGTTTATAGAATTAATTTGCTATTGAAAGCCTTGAGTTTCATTTGTGGACCAATTATAAATATAAAATTATCATCTCTGTATGTAAATTTATTTGAAATATGTTAATAAGCTACTAATTTACAATGGTGGGCACACTTCAACTAATGTAACAATACATAGAGCTCATGTGATGTCACACTTCCATGAACTTTGTAGCTGGCAGCCATCTTGGTAGGCATTTGCTATGGCAACAACAAACAAGCCACATGCTTGGAATTAGCTCTCGCCTACTAATATCTAGTAGCTAAGCTAGTTTTTCATGTAGTACTTATGCTAACTTTGAAAAGTTAGCATCCCCTAAATGAATATTTTTGGGTAAATTTTAATCATAAGTTTTGTAATCTTTTAGTTGAAAAAATAAACTATAGCTTCCCCAAATTAATTTTTCCATACACAAACGCTCATTTATTTTAATTAACACAAAATTAATTAAAATTAACAACATGCTAGAAGAAATAATATGGAAGCCATAGAATAAACAAAAGTTGTCCCGACTTTCACTTGATTTGCAAATTTGCATTTATTTTGTACGTCAGTTAAAAAGAGTTTATCTTCGAAACAATCTATTAATAATGTCTCTTTAACTATCAAACTCTTGTGAAACAGTGGCCACGCTAAACCATAAAACGGTTTAGATAAGTGATAAAAATGAGGAATTTTGCTGCTTTTACATGGACACCACATAATTTTAATTACATGTGAGTTTAATATTCTCCATGTCTGTTGCTTTCAGTGTGATTGATGGACAGTTTTTCCTCTTTTTTCCCAGGACTCAAACACTTATTTCATGCATAGATGACAGCGATAAGTGATGAAAAAAGCCCTCCTGGCTCTGCTTGAGCGCGCTTCAGCAGATCTTAGGTGAAACACGCAGTTGAGCGCGGCCTGCGAGGCTTCACGCCGCCTTCGTAAACGCAGCAGATGACGGATGTCTGTCTCCATCAGCGCCGGCGCGCTAAAGTGACAGCTCTCTGTTAACGGTGACAAGTCAGAGCTCCAGCGGAGACAGATTGCCTTCAGGTGGCTCCATTTTCAAAATCCTTGCTAAGAATCTGCAGCGCTTAACTTTCTTTTGATGGCTGAAGGGCTCTCAGCGGCTTTTTTTTTATTTTTCAGATTTCAGCTGAAGGAAAAGGGGGGTTCCTTTAATATCTTGTCTCTCAGAGATCAGAGGGTGTCACATTCTCACACCTCATATTTCACAGCATCTATCACAGGCGGTGTAAAATTCCCTTAAAAGTGCATTATGCAATATAATAGCAGGTTGGGATGACATTTAACTGCCAAAGGGAGGAAGGCTATTACAGACCTGCTGCCTTTTCCAAGAAGGATTTCATCATGCAGGACTTTTCTTTTTCTGTTTTGTCTTGTGATTGCAGCTGATGATCGAAATTAGACATGATCTTGAGGATCTTTCCTCCAACTGTGTTTCCTCTGTGCAAAAACTACATCTCACAGTTCACATATTTAAGAAACACAGAGCCTAGTATGTTTTTAATCCACACATAAGGAAATCCAGCCGTTTCTATGCAGCGATAACTTCAGGACATTGTCTGTATGGATAAACTAGTCACATGAATCACTCCTGCGTGATTTAGAGCTCTTCTTCCACACAAAAGGTCTTCACATCTTGAAGGTCTCTTCTTCTATTCACTCTGAACTGAAGTTCTTTCCACTGATTTTCTATCAAATCCATAAAAAGTTAGCTGTGCTAATCCTAAAGTGATAATCATAAATATTACTATCGCTAAATGCTATAGCGCTAATCACAAGCATTAGTTCTGCTAGTGCTAAAGCGCTAACTGTAAACATTGGTTCTCTTAAAGCTAAAGTTATATGCTAACACAATATTTAGTAACAGCTAATGCTAAAGTGCTATCTTCTGCTTGGTCATACCTGCCATGTGTTAATGAGACAACCTCAGACGTCGCCCCCAACAGGTTAAATTTTGTTTTTGCACACCTACATCTACTGTTTGCACTTCAGGAAGTGATTCATTGGAACAAACTTTACTCATGGTTTCAGTTTTATAATTGTTGAGTCGATAACCAAAGAGTCAACACATATGTTGAACTTTATTCAACCCACAGTTTACAAAGGAGCCAAGTAAATTAGGATACATCCAGAAAAATCGATTTAGGGCAAAACTACGTTTCTTTATGCTAACGTTTTCAAAGTGCTAAATAAAAAAGTAGGTCTGCTATTAGCGATAATAGTGGTGGGCTTCAGTCAGCCTACCACTGACTGGAGCACACTGGGTTAAGCAGCAGGAAAATTATCTTTAAAAAAATGTTGCAAAGTGGCCTAATCAAAGTTCAGAGTTCAAACCAATTGGGGTGACCGACTATGCTTCCTTAAACAAGTTAGGATGGCTGAATGAGCTACATAAAACCTATAAATCACAACTTTTTTGCACAAAATCATTCTTAGATTAAATTTTAGTCTGCTCAGTTCTACCTATTTTGAGCTGTTTTGTCACTTTAAATCCCAATAAGCCGCTGCTGGCCACACCTCCATTAATTCAACTTTTACACTCACATGAAAACGGCAGCAAACAGATACACAATTATACATTTGCTTTGAAACGCAGAAATGAAACCTCCTACACAAGCAACAGGTATGTAGTAAGTGGTTTCTGGATAGTAAGTCAACAACAAAAAACTTGTCTTTTCCAGCAACCATTGTACAGTGCTGACCAAACATGCTGGAGTTCAGCTTGGGTTTCTAGGTAACGGGCGGAATTCCTCTGGGGTTGCCAGGTAACGGGCGGAATTCCTCTGGGGTTGCCAGGTAACGGGCGGAATTTCTCTAGGGTTGCCAGGTAACAGGCGGAGTTCCGCTGGGGTTACTAGGTGAAGGGTCAGTGCCTGCTGATTTGTGACGTTACATTCATCAGGTTTTTGAAACGGCTCATTTCAACAAGTTAATAAAATTAAATTACCAAAAAACAGCTAGTTGTTTTTTTTTTAAGCAAAAGATTGTTTTTAGAAGCAGTGGAAACCCAAATGGAAGCACAAAAACATACAAAAAGTGAATTTTTCATAATTCGTCCCTCTTACAACAGGCTATCCATGCTGGAAAACCCTCCAGTGTTGCAATATTTAAACAACTCTATGAAAGAAGTGGGTCATAAGAAAGTTTAGGTGGCAGTTAGTTTTCGATTCAAGTCTATTTTGTATTTACTAAGGTTATCATTGTTTGATATCTGAAACATATCAATGGGACAAAAAAAACAACATCTCATATTCTCTGTCATTCACACATTATTTCCCATAATTCATGGGTGTTTTTGTTTTGATTTTCTGGTTCCTCAGGTGGCTGCGGACACCCGGTGTGAATCTCATTCCCACCAGAAACAGATTCTCAGACGAAAACACCGACGTGTTCAATACTTATTTCCCCCGCCGTATAGGAGCATCCCAGGACTTCCAGTTGGGACGGCGCCAGAGCGGTTGATCTAGATAATTTTCAGTCTCAACGGGGGAAGCGAGGATTTATTTCAGGGCCTGGTTATGCAGAATTTCTAATGAGTATTTTTGTTTTTTTATTTACAAAAAAAAAAATAAAATAAGAGTACCGGTAATAACTATGTGCAAAACCATTAGAATGAATATTTATGTTGCTTGTTATGAAATATTCATTAAGTAGGTTTAAAAAAAGAACAGCAAAAGAGAAAGAGCGAGAGAGAGAGTGTGTTTACTTGTGAGTATTTGTCTGTAAAATGGGGGCGGTGAGGCCCTCATCACCTATTGCACAGGAGTGCTGACAGCCCCCTCCTTCCTTCTTAGGATTGAATATCTGACATCTTTTAACAAAAGCAGCAGCAGCACTGCCATCTTCTTCCTCTCCTTTCTTTTTTCTCTCTTTCTTTCTTTCCCCTCCATCCGAGGTGATACGACTCCCTCCGTTCATCCGATCCAACCTCTCATTCCTGCACTTCCCCTTCATTCCATCCGACCAAATTAAGAAATTAATGAGGGATAGGTTCTTTACCAACTGCCCCTGCAATGTTTACCACTGATGAAATTATAATGCAGGCTCTGCTGTATTATTTATAAGCCAATTAGGGGAAGTGTTACTTGATTTGATGGCGAGCCGACACAGAGTACATTTAACTAATGGAGACCAAGAGAGTAAAGGGAACGAGAGAGGGGAGGGGAGGGACAGCTGAGGCGGGCGATTCTGCACCATGCTCTAGGATTACGTGGCTAATTGCCCTGCTTTATCTGTCTGTCACGGATAGCCATGCATATTTTAGCGTTCCCAAAGACTTTGATTGTTTGCACTCGTGTTGGGGCTGTAACAAGTAGAGCAGAGGCCAGAGTGGAGTGTAGTTAAAAACTGGCAGCAAGGGGGAGGAGGTGGGCGACGGGGAGGAAGAGGAGACCAGAAAACCCACGGATGCACACAGTGACAGGTGGAGGAAGAGTTTGTGACAAGGAGGGGGAAAATGGTGCAACCAAAAAAAAAAAAAAGAGTCGGGGCGTTTTATACGACAGTAATTAATTCCACTTATTGTAGCAGCGACTCGACCTTTTCTCCAACTGGTTTTATCTGATGGGGAAAGCTTGTTTGCACAACCTTCTGACAGAAATGGAATCTGCTGCAGCTGGATGAAAAAGTAAAGTACAAGTAGACACAGAAATGCCAAATATATTGACTAGTTTATGAAAATATTAGGGGTTCTTCTTTTTTTTTTTAAAAATTCAAAAGCAAATGCACCAGGATGTGAGTTCTTGTAGGTTAAGATTGTTACTACACTGCAAAAACACAAAATCTTACAAAGTGATTTTGATCAAATTTATATTACAAATATCTTAGTACACTTGATGAAAAAGAAAATTAGATAAGAGCTTGTTTTAGGTCAATAGTTCCTTAATTTTGATTTAAAAAAAATACTAGTTCAACTTTCAGGCTATTTCACGTCTAACAATTCAACTAAAAATATTTTATGGATCCCAAAGCAAAATTAAATGTTGTTTTAAGTAATTTAATTAAAGTGTTATTATACAAGTTGATGGCAGTGGGCAAAAAGATCTGCTGTAGCAGTCTGTGTTACAGCAAACTTGAAGAAGCTTCTGATTGAAGACACTTAAGACATTTTTCCCACAAGTCAAACAATCTCCCAGTAGAACTATTACTTTTTTATGGATATTAAGAAATTGCTGACTTAAAATAATTACTGTCTTATTTCAAGACAAAACTTGAAATAAGAAAAGTTTTGCGCTAGAAATTTGACCAAAACACTGACCAACAGCCAGGATGTGAGTTCTTGTACGTTAAATTGTTACTATGCAACAAAAAAATATCTTACAAAGTGTTTTTGTTATAGTTTCTATTGGAATTATCTTAGCACACCTAAAATAAGAGAAAACTAGCAAAATATAAGAGCTTGTTTTAAGCAAATAATTCCTTAATTTTGATTATAAAAAATTATTCTTGTGACATGGAGAAGAAGCATTGAGCTTCTATTCACCACAAATGTGGAACAAACTTCCAGAAAACTGCAAAACTGACAAAAAACTGGGTTTGGACTATACAAAACATGTTCATTATACCTTTTGTGCACAAAACCATTTTTAAATAATGAGATTTTTTTACCTGATCAGTTCTCAGAATGAGCTGCTTTAGGGCCTCTTGTCAATTTAAATCCAAATAAACTCAACATTTACACTCGCAAGTTAAAATGCCTGAAAACAGAGGCGCAATTATACAGCCGTACATATTTGATAAGCAGAAGTGGAGTCTCCTGCACCAACCAACAAGGATGCAGCAAGTGGTTTCTGGATGGTAAGTTAACAACAAACCACTTATCTTTCCCAGCAGCCATTGTACGGCGCGCACGGTGGCAAAAGTTGACCAAAGTGCTGAATCTCTGCTTAGGTTGCTAGGTAACGGGTGGAATTCCGCTGGGGTTGCTAGGTAACGGGCAGAGTCTGCTGATTTGTGACATTACATTCCAAAAGTTTTTGAAATGACTCATTTTCCAGACACCAAAAATCTTTAACTTATTGAAAAAAAAAACTGACTGGGTGGGATTTTTTAATCAGTTCATCTGTTTTTAGAAGAAGTTTTGGAAGCATGAAAACATGCAAAACGTGAATTTTCCCCTTTAATAAACTCCTGGACTGAGCGACTCCGACTGATGAGCTTTTGGAAAGCTGATCAGACACTCACGCTAAGGAGGGGAAACTGGAGCAAAGGCATCCCTAATTATCTGATGAAGGGGGGCAGCTTATCTGCACGGCTTCTTCTTTCTCTCCGCTTTCATCCCGCCGGCTCACATGGCGCATCTTTACATAACAAAAGGTCCGTACCTGGCCGAGCCGCTTCGGTCAGGACTCCTCCTCAAACATCCCCGGTTCCGGGTCTCCGAGCAATCCGCGATTAGATCCGGCTTCGCATGACATACGGCGGCTAATTCTGGAGATTTTTTCTTTTTGCCTAAAATGTTGCTCAGCGAGGGTTTCCGAGCCGAGCATTTTGGAACGTTTACGGGTTTTTCCTCGCTGCAATGAGAGTGTAATTAATTCACGATTAAAAGCATTAGTACGGGCTTTGTATGGTGATTTATTTAAAGGCTGGTACTAATGCTGGCTCGGTTTCCTCCTTTAGGAAATGGGTAATAAGATCCGATGCCAGGCCTTCTTTAGCATCCCTCTCCACACACACACACCCGCACACACACACCAAGGATATCAGTGTGTGTCTTCGATTAGAAGGCAGAAAAGCTCTGTCACCAGCAGCGTCACAGTCACCATGTTAACTTATTCATCCCTGTTAAAGCCCGTGTAACAGGATAGCTGTTAATTAATATTGCTGTCGGGTAAATGGTTGCCGCCGGACCGTTGCCACCATCCATCAGTAACATTATCTCTTGTGTTGTTTTCTTGCCAGGCCTCGGGCTCAATTAAGATAATGCTATGCAAACGAGGTCTCTCGCCATTAGCCTCATCACTGAGGAGCCGTTAATGGCATAATTGGGGCACTCCAAAGAACAATTACCTCGCCACCTGCCCTAGGAGATCACCAATCATCCGCGAGCATGACTGCCGAGTCACAAGTCGTGACCGCCGGGCGAAGAGTGAAACAGACTGGGGAACGACGAAGACTGCAGGCGATTCCCGTCTGACGACACGCAGCTACCAGGAAGTGGTTCAGTTGATCCTGGAGATCAGGATTCTGGAAAAATCCAACTGCATGAGTACGATGGCGTGTTGGCTGGAGATAGAAAACATTTCTGCCAAAGAAAACTCAGCAATTTAATCTTGGAGATTTTCTACAAAAAAAGCTGGAATTATTTAAAATTTTAGTCTTTTGGAAATTTTCAAAGGTCTAGCATTTTTCCACTTTTGAAACTCAGAGGGTCGAATGAGAGATGGTGGGGCTCTAATGAGCCATCAGTGACATTATCATTGATGACTGTATGTTGAAGCACTGAGGAGTCAGAGTCATTTGAAGTTTGTATGTCAGGTGTTGTCCAAGTGTGCCATTTGGAAAGAAACTCTTGACAACATTTTAAATCTAACCATATCGATGTGTTATAAAGAATAAATCTAAAATATTGCAATAAATGAAGCTTGGGAAGCTGAACTGTCTTGATGTGACGCTGAACAGCGACATGAGGAAGACCATGGCTGTTAGCTTGTGCCGTGTTGCTAAGATGGTGTCCACTGTTTGTATCAAAGCACATCAAACATATTTGTGTTTGAAACTATTAAAATGAAGAAGTTTCTAAATGTTTCTAGATGGGGTCAAAGTATTTGTTGATTTTAGCTAATTGTAGTTGGCTGTGGTCCCTAAACTCCTGGAAGAGGAACAAATATATCAAACCACTTTTCCTCAAATGCACCAAAATCTAAAAAGAGTGAACCAAATCCACCTCTTTTAAAAATAACTTTATTTTCTATTTTGTTTAATCAAGTCTAAAATAATTAGCCAGTAGACTCGGTTTGGGAACATAAACTGCAACATTTGGTTCATTTTCAGACTACATTGTGTCAAACAAACCAAACACATTGAAGAACCTGTTAACCTCCTCACCTGTGGTGGCGCTACACCAGGAAGCACTGAAGGTAACAACACAAAAACCTCTGAAGAAAACACTGAGCACAACCTCCTTCCTCACAAAAACTAAACAAATGGAGGAGCGTCAGTAGGACCAGTTTCTTTTTGTGTTTGGTAAAAGTCCACAAGACATTCCTCATTAGTGCGAGATGCTTGTGTTTGTTTCAGAGGTCGGACCAAGTCAGTGTTTTGTAAAACTCAGTTAAGACTCAAGTCTTTATCCTCATGTCCAAAGTCTGACACTTTTAATTTCATGTCTTTTTTTAACAATGCTGCAATTATATGTTAAATGTAAATAAAATTGCACCTCTATATTGCACAGTTCAGTTAAACTTAGCTGCAAGAATGGTCAGACTTTAAACTATAATTTTCAAGAACAGAGAGGAAAATAAGTATTTGAACATCCTGCAACTTTACAAGTTCTCCCACTTAGAAATCATGGAGGGTTTGAAATTTTCACTTCAGGTTCATGTCCACAGTGAGAGACACAATCTAAAAAAATCTGGAAATCCAGGAGTGCATGTGCATAAATGGTAATATTTAATCATGTTCTTTAATAATATTTCTTTACAATCATGTTTCCTTTATTCAGTATATTTCTCATGAACAGTTGGGCCCATTTGTATCCATTATTGTTTTTACCTAAGATAAACCTCATGGTCTGATACAACTTTGGGTCTAACATTGGCAGGATTATTTTGATGATCTGAACTTTGAGGCTGGGCGTAACCAAGATAAGCTGTGGGTAAAACCTGATTGGCTGCAGCCTCTCTGCACTGAAACATGAGTCATAAATCAGGACAAAATAGTTTCTGTTTTGAGGAAGAGAAACTCAGACAGTCACTGTGACTGAGAGCAGAAATGGAGCAGAATCAGTTCGACCGAGAGACTTTCTCCTGTTCCATCTGTCTGGATCTACTGACGGATCCGGTGACGACTCCCTGTGGACACAGCTACTGTATGACCTGCATTAAAGGTCACTGGGATGAAGAGGATCAGAAACGAATCCACAGCTGCCCTCAGTGCAGAGAGACATTCATACCAAGGCCTGTTTTGAAGAAAAACACCATGCTAGCAGCTTTAGTGGAGCAGCTGAAGAAGACTGGACTCCAAGCTGCTCCTGCTGACCACTGTTATGCTGGACCTGAAGATGTGGCCTGTGATTCCTGCACTGGAAGAAAACTGAAAGCCATCAAGTCCTGTTTAGTCTGTCTGGCCTCTTTCTGTGAGAAACACCTTCAGCCTCATTATGATGTGGCTCCATTAAGGAAACACAAGCTGGTGGAGCCGTCCAAGAACCTCCAGGAGAACATCTGCTCTAAGCATGATGAGGTGATGAAGATGTTCTGCCGCACTGATCAGAAGTGTATCTGTCTCATCTGTTTAATGGATGAACATAAAGGCCATGAAACAGTGTCAGCTGCAGCAGAAAGGACTGAGAGGCAGAGAGAGCTGGAGGAGAGACGAGGAAACATCCAGCAGAGAATCCAGGACCA